CATAACCTTAACCGTCACATTCAAGCTATTCGTCTTTGGCAGAAATATCACAGACGTGAGGCTGTGTTCTATCAAGTGGTGTACAATTTCAATTTATCCTATTACTTTGATCACTTAATTAACTACCAACTCTTTCTTCTTAGTCATTTCTCCTTTGTCATTAATAAGTATTTTGTGGAGTTATTTTGAGGTGTTATGACTATCTTGTTGCTCATCAAATTTTCAGTTTATTGTTTATATTAGTGTGGACTCCCTAATTCCTATTTTATTCAATGGGTTGTAATCCATTACTATCATTTATTTTGATGCTTAAATTGTATCAGATTTTGCCAGTGGGAACCTCTTCAAGCTGGCTTCTGTGTCTTTTCCACATGTCCCCATCATTCTTTGAGCCCTTCTTTACTTTTTGGAAAACAAAGTTCACCTTCTCTTTCTCTGCCCTAACCATGGGATGTACCATTTCTTCAAGGAGCCTTGGTTCTTCTTAGTAGAGAATGTTTTTAGAAGCAAAGTTCTAGGTATATACATGCTCATTTGTTTTGGGGTGTTACTGCTCTCAGGACCAATGAGTAAACATATGCATACACATACATATATACATTTATAGGTATATTTATTTCTATATCCATTTATATTGAAAACCATACTTCTGGTTCTTATCCAACACCACAGGGTTCATTCTTACTTTTGTCTACATATATCCTCCCCAACATTGAGAAATTTGGCTTTGATTGTTCTTAATATATTTACTTGCTTGATGAATTCCTGTCCCCCCACATCATGTGTGGGCCACCTTCCATGTGAATGCCCTCCTTATCCCTGCTGTGGCTCCAACACGCTCCATCAGGATGCCCTCCTCTTTTTTGGGTTCTGACATTTTGTATTGGGCAACCTCCCTGTGCAGATGTTCTCTGCTCAGACTCCTCACTCCAATTAGGTTGGACCTGATGTTGAGCTGGACTGCTTCTTCCACTCCACTCCCCACCCCCGTGGATTTCCTTCTCCTTCCATTCAGGCTGTAACACCCTGTGGTTGGCCTTGCCCTCTGCAAGTACACCCTCTTCATCTTACTTTGGCACCTCAGTGCTGCTGTTACCCCACTAGCTCCCCCACCACACATGTGGGTACTTAGCCCTTTGGAGATTCATGGGACATACGGAATCCCAACCACTTTTTATGACTCTGAAGTTCTTTGGGAAGGAGGTAACTGATTTTAACACATAGAACCCCAGTGACACAGTGTTTAAGCGTTCGGCTGCTAACTAAAAGGTCAGCAGTTTGCATCCACCAGCTGCTCCTTGGAAACCCTATGAGGCATTTCTGTTCTACTCTATGGGGTCGCTATGAGTCGAAATCTACTCAACTGCAACGGGTTTGCTTTTTGGTTTTAGCCTCAAGGTGGGAGCCTTTTGAAATGTGTGAAACTAAAAATTCCTGAGTGGGAGCCTCATTTTTGTGTAGATTGAACATTGTGTTAGGTGATGCCTCTGGATGTGTGAATTTTCTAAACTTTTGAAAGATTTACCTTTATTTCTGTGAGATAAGCCTCCTCGTTATGTTTCTCAGTTACTGTGTTCTCATGAGACCATACTTATCGCAAGAATAAGCTACAGCCAGTCTTCATTTAGTCATAGTGACCGTTTTCTCCTTTATGCTGTTCATTGTTTCCAGGTGTTACTGGCTCCCATCTTTTCTAGTTTCTGAACAGTAAGTAATGCCTTCCAATAAGGAATAGGAGCCCTGGTGGAGCAGTAGTTAAGAGCTCGGCTGCTACGAAAAGGTCAGCAGTTTGAATCTACCAGTCGCTCCTTGGAAACTCTATGGGGCAGTTCTGCTCTGTCCTGTAGGATCACTATGAGTTGGAATTGACTTGACGGCAACAGGTTTAGTCTGGAATAAGGAATAAGGCATTCATTGCAGTGGTACTTTTCAACAGACTTGAATTCCTTTAAGTTATTCTTACCACACATTCATTGACTCATATGAGTAGGATTTACTATGTCCTGGCATCCACTGGGGCATATGTGACCCAGACAGTGGGTATCATGGAGTCCACGGGGACTTATGCGATCCCAGATGAAGGGTATCAAAATCCATAACTCAGAATAAAAATTCTCAGTTTGATCCTTTAATCAACATGCCTTTCATTAGTGAAAACACATGGTATCAACAAAAAATTCAAAGGAAAAAATACTTGGGTCATCAGAGGGTTACAGCCCCTTATTAGGATCTGCCATCCCTCTCTAGGCCACTGAGATGCCTGTCCCTCTCTTCCTCACATGCAGATGCCTGCGTTACTGGGCTTCACCTAATAGCTTTTAGACTGAATTGTTCAGGAAGGGAAGAGGACAAGGAAACAACTACTTTGTTTTTGCTTCATTGTTTGTCCGTGAAGATTATACAGTAGATTCTTACATTGTTGTCTAGTTCCGTTCCATTAAGGAAGGAATTGGTGATGGGCCACTTTAACAGTGTGGTTAAGCATATAGCTGCAGTTCAATCTGGATTCTTTGTGTCTAGCGTTACTTTGATTCATTTCGTTTACTCTGGACTGTCTACATTTTACTTACGGCCTTTATTAAGTCTTAGCCTTTACTTCTGTACTTACTCAAACTGTGTTAAGTATTGAGCCTTTATCTGTTGCTTTCTCTTAAAGGCTTTGCATTAATTTAATGTTTGGAAAAGTGTTGGTTAAAATTGTGTAACACTGCAGTTTTTGTCTTTGCAGTCTGAGCCCCTCTTTCTACATTCTCTTTAGCTGTGTGTTGTTACAGTGGTGGGTGGTAATGATTTTGAATGAGGGCTCTAGATTCTTTTGGTGGATAGATCACTTCCCCTTGGATTTCATTTGAAGCATACCCCCTTATTATGTGAAGACCTGAATGATAGGACACATCTCTTGTTGAACATCCCTAGGAATCAATAGGGTGATCTTTTCATCCTCAGTGGTGTGCTGGCTGTGCGTCTGTGAAATGGTGGAAATAAGTATAAAATAGGTACAGATGTTATTTTATAATATGTTAACCATTATATAATTTTTGGCTATTTAGTTTTATAGATGTTTTCAAATTATTTTTTCCCTTATTAAAATTTTATTTTTTAGCTTGAAAAACTGAAAAAGGAAGAAAGGGAAAGCTCATGTTGTAAAATCAGCCACCAGATTTTAAGTAGCTGGAGACAAAGATGTGTAACTCTAAAGGAAAAACTTGAAAAGTATGAGAGCATTTTTTACTCAGTTTTTAAACTACAGGAAAAGGGGGTTGTTGAAAAGTGAAAGCATTTTCTTAATTTTCTGTAGCTGTTTTGCCGTGAAGTTTTCATGTCAATATTAGTAATAAACCTTTTGTGATTGAGCTCTTTATTATTTTTTAAATGATGTTTAATTTGGCTCTATAAATTATACTAAGATTTAAACCATGTGGAGATATGAAACATTGAAATAGACATGTACCCTTTGTAGATGGTGTCTGACAGTGTTGCCTCATCCAATTTTAAACTTGTTTTGTGATCTCTGAAGAGAAGAGGTGTGGTGTATAAACAGAAAACATATTCAGGAAGTTGATATGTCAGCTGTACTGAATTTCAGCTAGAGAGTTGTGCTTACACATTCTTCCTGTTTGAAACTATGCTGTTTTTCTAATTTTCTGTACAAATAATCTATGCTGTTTGGTTTTTGGAGTTACTGGGTGGTGCAAACAGTTAACAGACTTGGCTACTAACTGGAAGGTTAGAGGTTGAAGTCCACCCAGAGGCACCTTGGAAGAAAGCCCTGGCGATCTGCTTTCAAAAAATCAACCGTTGAAAAATCCTATAGAGCACAGTTCTACTCTGATTGCCATGAATTGGAATCGACTCAGCAGCAACTGATTTTTTTATTTGGTCTTAATGCGTTATTAACTGTGTGGCTTTCTTTGTGTTGAAGTCTGTCCTGTTTTTCTTTTTCTGGTTTATAACAAGATAATTTTGTTATAAGTAGGTTGGGTTAGTTATGGTAATACTGTAATACCACAGGGATAATTGTGTTGTTTCTTGGAATAAAATAAGAACTTTCATTCCTCACTTTTTACTCTTTCTGGGTGTATCTAAATAATCATACTCATCCTGCTAGCGTGCATGTATATACATTTTCACGTTTGGTCACATTTGACAGTATATTGTGATTTATCCTGAGAATCTGATAGTAGGAGATCTGTCTGCTGTCCAAACTACACAGGGCGAATCTGAACTAGGAAGATTGTTTTCCCGTGGAATAATGGGGAATACATAGAGCTGATAGAGGTTATAAGGAATTAATCCAATTTAATATATAGATCTAGTATTATTAAATGGCAGCTTTTCGGCAAGTTTAGATGACTTTGTCTAAAAAGATGATTGATACTTGGTGTTAGTTGCCATCCAGTCATCTCTGACTCATGGCAGCCTTGTGTATAACAGAACAAAACACTGCCTGGTCCTGTGCCATCCTCATAAACTTGCTGTGTTGGAGTCCATTGTTGCAGCTACCATGCCAGTTCATCTCACTGAGTGTTTTTCTTGTTTTCACTGACCCTCTGCTTTACCAGATATGATGTCCTTTTCTAGTGATTGATCTTTCCTGAGGACGTGTCCAAAATAAGCAAGATGAAGTGTTGCTATTCTCACTTCTAAGGAGCATTCTGGTTGTACTTCCTCCAAGACAGATTAGTACTTAGTCCCTTCTTATAGCTGAGATAGGTACCTTTGATTAGATTTAAAAATAGTCATGTCCCTCTAATTTTGAGCCAGAATATAGTAACTGAAACTGAGTCTGTACACACATTTAGAATAGTGATACCAAGACATTAAAAACATGACCCATTTTCATATATGTTAGTTAGAAAAGCAGATTTTTCTGCATTCTTACCACTGAAGGACTAGAATGTGATTTAATAAACTTTCATAATAGCTTTTTCCCGTTACAGGATTTCTCTCGCAGTTTAATTAATCTTGGTTTCTAAATTTTAACCTTTGAACTCCGTTAGGCCTTTGGATGTTGCTCTGAAGAAAGTTCAGTAATGGATCAGAGGAAGAATGACAGTATTGTCCCTAGTATCACTCAACTAGAAGATTTTCTTACAGAACACAATTCCAATGTTGTTTGGCTTCTCGTTGGTAAGTAGAATCCATTTTCTTGTACTTTATTGTTTTTTATGTATGGGTTAACAATTGCTAGATTTTAAGCAGTGGTTGAGTGAAGCTAGAATGCTTACTATACTGTTTGGTTACTTATAGGAAAGAAGGCTGTAATCTATGTTTCTGTGAAGATTTGCTCTGGAAGCTGCTCTGGATGCTCTTTACTTTGTCCTGGGCTGCTCCTTGCCTGACTTGGGGGAGGTGGGAGGAGAAGAAAGACATTGCACTTAGCTTTTCTTTCCCATTTCAGGTTTACTGTCTCCCCTCCCCGCCGTGACACATACAACACATACACATAGTAAAATAGAATATATATGCCCAATTAATCTTGTAATCTCTTTGTTCCTTGTTCACTTTGCAGTGGGCTCTGCTATTAATAATTTTTTATAATATTCTAGAAGTTTTCTGGCCATTACAAATTATACAAAGTAGTGTATAATTAAATGGTAGGGAGAAGGAGAGAGAGGAGGAAGGAGGAAGAGATGGAGGGAATATCAGTGAATGAATGAATGAGAGAGAAATACAAAAATAATATCAGAGAATGGAGTGATTATTGTAGGTTGTCATTGCTCTCATGGAAGGACAGTATTTGATTTGAGTTTTGAGATGGGATTTGAAAAGGTAGAGAGGAAAATAGGAAGGGTAAAGTAAGGTAAGAGAGGAAAGGGAGGATAATGTTATTTATTGAACATCTTCTGTGTGCCAAATACCACAGGCATTTTACATATGTTGCCTCCCTTGAGGCTCAGAGCAACCTATGAACCATATGAATGTTGAGGAATTGAGACCCATGGAGATTAAATAACTTGTATGGGTTACATCTGTTCGGCATCACAGCAACACACAAGCCTCCACTGGCAGATGGGTGGAGGATGTGCATAAGGTACATTGGCCAGGAATTGGACCTGGGTCTGCCACATGGAAGGCAAGAATTCTACCACTGAACTAACAAATGCCCCATCTAAGACAGACTAGGAAGAAAAGCCTGGCAATCTACTCCTGAAAATCAGCCAGTGAAAATCTTATGGCTCACAACAGTCCTGTTCACAGCCAAACCTGGGGATGGTGCAGGACTGGACAGCGTTTTGTTCTGTTGTACCTGGAGTTGCTGTGAGTTGGGGGCTGTCTCGACATCAGCTAACAACAGCAATGTGGGTTGCACACCTAGGCTTTCTGAGTTCATGCTTCTGCTTCTTTCGTGAGACCACAGGACGTGGGGTGGGGAGTAGGGACAAGGATAAAGTGTATATAGAAGGAATTATAATGCTTCATGATTATTGGGTAGGATTGGGTTACCATTTTAACTTTGAGTACTGTATTTTCTATTTGACTGAAGTAAACTAGTATAAATTATCATTATTAAAAGCAAAAAATGTGAAATTAGGTGCAAAACATTGGTATAAAATAGCACTTCATAAAAGCATCATTGAGCATTTTTTTTAACTAGGAGTAGGATTCTTCCTTATTTCCCATCTGTCCCCTCTATTATCACCTAGACTTTTCCTGACTTTCTGTTCCACACAACAGTTCCTTTCTTTAGCAACAGCAGCAACAGAAAAACACTGAGTGATTGTTTACTCTGTTTTACTAGTGGCCTCATGATATTGAGAGGGGGGTGGGTGCCTGGTACAGTGAGAAGGCCACAGTTCCTAGGTAGTTAGTCGGAATCAACTTGAGGGCAGGGGGTTTGGTTTTTCTTGGTTTTAAAACTAGAAGCTTACTTTCTTTTTTTTTTTTTTTTTTTTAAATATTTTATTGTACTTCAGGTGAAGGCGTACAGAACAGATAGTTTCTCATGCAACAGCAACACACATGCTGTTTTATGACATTGGTTAACAACCCCACAACACCTCAACCCTCCAAATACCCAACTTCCCCCTTTTTTTTTTTTGGTGAAAATACACACAGCCAAAGACACGCCACTTCAAAAATTTTTTTTACATACACATTTAAGTGACATTGACTACGCTCCTCTAACTATGCCGCCATTCTCACTCAAGACGAAGGCCCACAGGACAAAATAGTCTCCCATCCGACAGCTACCACAAATGCTGCCCCACGACAATGGCCAACAATCTCACAACACATCAACAACATCCCTACTCTATTTTGTGTTCCCTATCATCAGCTTCCCACTCCCCCTCTGCCCTCTGGGCCCTGTCACTGGACTCCTGTACCTCGTTACTCTCATGGTTTTACTGGGCTGTCCACTCACAGGCTGATCAGTGAACCTCGAAGGTAACTTTACCACTGAGCCAAAAGGGTGTCTGGGGGCCA